CAGAGCTCTGATTACGAAATAATGCCGAAACAATAACCAATTGTCTAAACAGAAATAAGAACGAAACAAGGATTGCGAGAAAATACTATTCATCTTTTCTTAATTTTATTAACCAAAAATAACCTGATAACAATAAGGTTCTCCAAGCCTTAAATAGGCAAAATAAAAATAACAAAAAAGTAAAGAACTATAATCATGTGCAATCAAAGGAGATAACACACAATCAACGCACACTCAAATGTAATCTAAAAATAACAAAAAAGGAAATAATTAACAATTATTGACAAGCCCTAAACTATGGAATAAATTATAGAAAAGCCCAATCCAAGTCAGTCAGCTCGGGTGCATCAGAATGTATAAAATATTTCAAGCTTGACTTGATTTATTAATCTCATACAAGCTAAATATAGGTTTGATCTGTTTTGTTTTTGAGAAATATAAGGCTTGGCCTGGTTTGACCTATCAAGTCTACCAAATCTTTGAAAATGACATATTTCACTTTGTAAATTGGGCTTTATTATTCTTCTTTCACATAAGATCAGTGTTGGGATTTATATCTGAAGAAAGGAGCACATATATTTATCATCAGGATCTTCATCATCTCTCTCTCTTGGAACAATTATCCTCTGTGAAGCTTTCATCTACAACATTATTTTATTATTATCATGCGGTCAAGACATCTTTATTTCAGCTGCTAAAGTCTTAAGGCTGCTTGATTTCACATGGGCGTTATTTATCATACACTCATATCACCAACGAGTTTTATTGCTGAAGAAGGGAAATTTCTGAATCAAGGAGTATATATATTTATCACGAGAATCTCCATCACTTTCTATTTTGGAACACATCATCCTCTCCGGAAGATCTCATCTACTACTTTATTTATCTCACGAAGCTCGGATCTACAATTCTGTCGAAATTATTTTATTATTATCAGACGGTCAAGACATTCTTATTCCAGTGGTCAACATCTTCAGGCTATTTGATTCAATATGAGCTCGCCAACTTACGCTTACAATTAAATTATTACTATTTCAACAACATCAGGAGACCTTCCTCAATAACAAGACGCATCTTTGAGGACAACAAAGTTCAGCACAATTGCAAGCCATAATAGAAGATTCTCTTGAAGTACTCAAGCATCGCCAATCAGAAAATTCATACTCGACGACAACAAATAAAAAACTCATGAAGGCCGACGTATTATCGATCGGTTACATTATATCCTACTTAGAACACTACACACTACGAACAACCGGCTTAAGCTGCCATACATCTTGGCACCCTTGCTTCGCAAAGCTACCAGCCTGGGGGGCTTCTGTTCTGGATAGCCCACTCACATGGGCCCAACCGTTAGGCCCAGCCTAAAGAGCCCTCTTCTAGAAGGCAACTTAGGGTTCCCCCTCTTCCCCATGCACACCAGCTGCCCCTGCACAAAGGCAGAGGTTCGGCATGCCTAGCCTGAAAAGGCTAGACTGGTTAGGTTGACTAGAGCTCTTGCTCTAAATACCCCCCTCTCACATTGAGGAGGGGATCCTCTTCTTCTCCATTCAGCTTCATGCGCTGCCACAAGGAGAACAACTCTAGCCATACACACACTCTCCCCTTTAGCACATACATGGAAAGCTCCACTAGTGCCTTAGTCTCTACCATGACTACTATGGACACCCCTATATCAACATACTTCACCCTCCATGGAAGACATTTATGTACCACTATCAGTACAATATGTAAAAAAAATTAATTAAGCTAACGTTAACTGAAGTTTAACTAATTCACAAGAACAATCGAACATTTATTTATTTATTTTTTGTTAATTTGATATCATACCACTAAATGCACTTAATTTTTTTTTGAAAACAAACACAATTTAACAATCAACAAAACAGTGCAAAAACGTTTACGGAGGTGGAACTGATCGAAAATAAATTTAATATAAAGGAGTAGCAATTAGAACATTTAGAATTAAAAAAAGAAGAAGCAAAAAAGAGTAACATAACTATTGACGAATTAAACTTACTCTAGAATTTTTATACATAAAATAATATTCTATTTAACTTTCCTCTAATCTTCTTTACTGACAAGGCACCTGCACCTAATTTAGCAAAATAGACACAGTCAAATCCTTCCAAAACACTTATTTTACATCTTTTAATTACTTTTTTTTTTTTAAGAACAAAGGAAAGAAAAGAAAAGGGAAAATAAAAAAATACCAAAAAGCTGATTGTGATATCATCAAGACAAAAAGGAAAAGCAAACTTTGAATAACCAAACTAAAGGGATGTAGACCAAACAAATTAAAAAAATAAAGCAAGACTCGCAAGTCGAAGAAAGTAGGAAGGTGATAGGAAGTTAAAATTGCAAAAGGAAACTCAAAACCCATCTTTATTATTTTATTTCTTCTCCATCAAAAGAAAAAAAACTAGCAAAACTCAAGACTTTTTCAAGGATAGAACCAAAACAGCATCATTTATTTTATAATTTTTTTTATGGGTAAAGCATTAAGTTATCTTTGGTGAACACAAAACAATATCGTTTTGTGGCGAAAATTAAGGTATTTTTATAATTATAATTTATTGCAAAATTATATTAGTTATTATTATTATAATTTTTAATTTTATAATTTTATAATTTTAATACGATGTCGTTTTGGGCTCACTGGAGATAATTTTCTCTCTAACGACTGGAGAAATACTTTTTTTCCCTTTTTTATATATATTTTTTTACATTTTGATGTTTAAACATATTTTGCTTGTTTACTTTTCTGATTTTATTTTTTTTATTTTTCAACTTATCATTACCTTCACACAATCAGATCATTTAAGGAAAAAATAATAAAAAAGAAGAAATCTGACCCATTGTAACAAATTTCTCTTTTGCACCCTTTCATGAACTAATCCAGCAAAAATAGAAATAAAAAAATTAACCCAAGTTCAGATTCAACTAAATACAGAAAGATTTATCAAAAAATAAATAAATAAATAAATAAATACAGAAAGAGAACTAGGAAATAATAGTAATGATGATAGATATAAGGGAAAAGATCCGTTTATAATTTTTTTTTATAAATTATACTATGTATGACTGGTCATACACTCTTAATTGAAGTATGACCGGTTATATTTAGTGTAGTTTATAAACAGAATTTTTATAAATATAACTTTTTTCTATATATAAAATTTAAAAAACAATAAAATTTAAGGGATTATTTTTCTTATGTAGCTGTATAAGAAAAATTATTCTTTAAGGAGGCGTTTGGTTTCAGAAATTTTCTTGGAATAATAGAGAAATGTAATAGATAGAGAAATGATTGAAAAGATAGATAAAGTGAGATAGGTAGAAAAATGTAAAAAAAAGTTGTTTGGTGGGGAAAAATTATACTGAGAAAATTAGGTAACTTTATGAAATCAACAGTGCATTAAAAGCCAGATAATCGGTTTTCCGAAAAATCCCACCTTCAAATTGGGTTTCTGAACAGTGCGGATATCTATGTTTCTCATAAATCCAGACAAATTGGATAGATGGATTTTTGGTGAAAATACGTTGAAACAAACATGGTGTTTCTAAAAGCCATACTTCAGAAACATAGATATCCGCTTAGAAGCTCTCAACCAAACCCCATCTAAGAGACACAAATTTTGCGAGACAAACCAAAAATAAATAAATGAATTTCAGAGGATAAAGTGAGACAACTATTTACATCTTTCAACCTGCACAATTCAGCACATCCATCATTACAAGCAGTCGAGGAAGATGATTGTTATCTAACTGAGATTGGAGTATCAACGGAAGTTCCTTTTTACGCCTTCTTTCGCACCTTCTCTATTTTTGTGCTCCCCGAGCACATCACCACTTAGTGGGCCGGAAGAGGAGGAAGAAGAAGAGGAAAAGAAGATACCGAACAAATATGAGAGAGAAAAAAAATATATATTCAAATATTACTCTCCGAATAAAGAGTAAATTTTTTGGTCTAAAAACAAATTTCACTAAATTCGTTTTAATTCATAGTAAATAAAAAATTTATTTGTGATTTTTAATAAATTTAAAATAGATTTATTTAGTTAAAATTGTGGTCTCTCACAAATTTAAATTAGTCTCTCAAAAGAACTAAAATAAGTCCATTTTAAATGTTTTAAAATCATGAATAGTCTTTTTATTTACTAGGAACTAAAACGGGTATCATAAAATTTGCAGAGGAAAGAAAATGATATTTACTGTTAGATAAAAGAACTACATAGGGCTTGGAACGCCAATTTTTTTTTTCCCTCTAGTAGCCACTCTTCTTTTTCCATTTAGTCAACGGGAAAGGCGCCGAACATGACGCATCATGATCATGACCATTACCAAATTTTGTCCACACCCCAAATAAAAAACGCAAAATATGAATAGTGTAAAAGGTACTCTCCAAATTAACCAAGCAAAATAAGAAGAGGAAGAGCAAGAGACAGAACCCTCTAGATGTTGAAAAAATCAAACATGCATACGTAATATTATAATTATATATATATTTTTTATTTTAGACTGACATAAATAGAAAGAAAAAATAATTTTTTTTTTTTTTTTTTATAACAAGAAAAAATAATTTTAATATTATAATGATGTAATTTCTGAAATATATAATTATGATAAACCGTTGCACTAAATAATCAATGCAACGATTATTAGGTTATATTAAAATGCTCTCTTATTGAAAAAAAATTTAATATTCAATTATTGGTGAAATCTCTAAAAAAATAATTATAATATTATAAAAAAAAAAATATTTATAAACTCTTACAAACTACACTATGTCTGAACGCTGATAATACACTTTTGAATAGAATATTACATATAATATAATTTATAAGTTTATAAATAAAAAGTTTGTCAATATAATCCTACTCTATTATAAATATATAATCCACAGAATATGTAATTATAAAAAAGACAATTGCACCGGTTGTATTCAAAATGATCAGCTACTCTCCTAGATGTCACGTTGATTTTATATTTCATAAGCATAGAGAAAGAGTCAATAGTGCAAGCAGCCATGGATGCAGCTCCTCTTCACATAGCCATGTATCCATGGTTTGCTATGGGACACCTAACCCCATATCTCCACCTCTCAAACAAGTTAGCAAAGAGAGGACACAAAATCTCATTCTTCATCCCCAAAAGAACACAGACCAAATTACAACACCTAAACCTTCACCCACATCTCATCACCTTTGTACCCATCACTCTTCCTCTCGTTGATGGCCTCCCTCATGATGCTGAAACCACTTCAGATGTGTCCTCATTCTCTTTATTCACACTTATTGCTACAGCCATGGATCGCACAGAGAAGGACATCGAACTTCTCCTCAAGGAGCTAAAGCCACAAATTGTTTTCTTTGATTTTCAATATTGGCTACCCAACTTGACTCGAAGACTGGGTATCAAGAGTGTCCAATACTTGATAGTAAATTCAGCAACAGTAGCTTACCTCGGAAAAGGATCAAGACAGATCCAAGGAAGAGAATTAACTGAAGCTGATCTCATTAAACCGCCTCCACGGTTCCCTGATTCATGCATCAAGCTTCATGCACATGAACTTCGATTCCTAACTGTCACAAGGAAACTGGTGTTTGGCAGTGGTGTTTTCTTTTATGATCGCTTCTTCATGGGTAAAGTTTGGATTTTATTTATTCACGTATATATTTATCATCGTTTCATTATTATTTTTTTAATTTCTTAATTTTTTTTTTCAATCTATATATATTATTTGATTTTATCGAAAAACCCATATGAGAAATAAATTTTATCATGTCTTATTTTAAGATAATCATATCTTATACGGAAGATGTTATATTTATAATCGCTTTCTTCTTATGATCACTTTTATGGTTGATGGGTCTAAATCAAATCAACGGCTCTTATTTGATGTTATTTTATAATCGTTAATTTGATTTTGATCCAATAATTCTAAAAATGATGGTAAGAGGTTGTAAGAGAAAACATGCTGTAAATATAACCTCATTCATCATATTTTATACGGAAGATTTTAGGAATTCATTTCTACCGTTAGCAATTAAAATAATAATTTTTATTTTCTGGTATAACAACTTTTGTTAATAAACTTATGAACGAATAATTGAAAATTTTCACATGAGAATAAAATTTAATATTGATATTGGACTTATAGGTGCAAGTTCATCAGATGCAATTGGGTTCAAAGGTTGCAGAGAAATTGATGGGCCATATGTGGATTATATTGAAATGGTACATGGGAAGCCTGTTCTGCTTTCAGGGCCTTTATTACCAGAGACAACCAATACTTCTTTAGAAGAAAAATGGGTTGCATTGCTTGGAAGATTCAAGGCTGGTTCTGTGGTTTACTGTGCATATGGAAGTGAAAGCCCATTACAGCAAAATCAATTCCAAGAGTTGTTGCTTGGTATTGAGCTATCAGGTTTTCCATTTCTTGCAGCACTTAAGCCCCCTAGTGGATTTGAATCTCTTGAAGAAGCTTTGCCTGAAGGATTCAAAGAAAAGGTTCAAGAAAGAGGGATTGCATATGGAGGATGGGTCCCACAACAATTGATTTTAGGACACCCTTCTATTGGGTGCTTCATAACACACTGTGGAGCAGCTTCTATAACAGAAGCACTTGTGAATCAGTGTCAGTTGGTGTTGTTACCAAGAGTAGGGTCTGATCATATCATGAATGCTAGAATGATGAGTACAAAGTTGAAGGTTGGGGTCGAAGTTGAGAAAGGTGAAGAAGATGGTTTGTTCACAAAAGAAAGTGTTTGCAAAGCTGTGAAAATTGTGATGGATGACGAGAATGAGCTTGGAGCACAAGTTAGAGAAAATCATACCAAGATAAGGAACCTGTTACTAAGCAAAAATTTGGAGTCCTCATGTCTTGATACTTTTTGTCAAAAGCTTCAAGAATTACTGTAAATTCTGAGTTTCATGGACTGCATATCTAATTCATTTGTTTATAAATAAATATAATGAATTCCATTGTCTAGATATGCTATATTCAACAAGGTTACATTTTTTTTAGGGAAAAAGACTTCTCCTGTGAGAAGTCTCTTTTTCTGTCACTCTATGGACCACTCTTTTTTTTTCTCAGCTGGAGATCTCTAACTTCTCCTACAATAGGAGAAGTTGCAAGCCCATTTTTTTATGGGGCTAGAAGAATCATTGAATAATAAGATAATTCGGTTTAGAAACTAAAAAATATGGATGAATCACAGGTTTTCTTCCCTGATTTTTTGTTTATGGTATGTTACAAACTTGAGTAGCAAGAACTTAATATTTTTTAATTTTATTAGAACCCTCGCTAGCGTAAGTATATCTCAGAATATTTTTGATGTTCTATTTATGCTTAAAGAGAAAAAAAAAATTACTATTGAATTGTTTGTGTTGTCTGCAGTCAAAGATGTGTCCCTAAAGGGGTGAAGTATGTCAATCTAGGGGTACTTTTAGTAGCAATGATATAAACTAAGGCTCTGTTGGAGTTTCTTATATGCAATAAAGGAGTGTGTTAATGGCGATGGTGGCTATAACAACCCATACCCTTAAGATTTGATTATGTAAGACAAGTGTGAATAAAATTATACAAGTTTAGGAAATTAAGGAATTTATAGTTAAGTTATGTAAGTTTAAGATAAGTTTGCTTTTGAAGCAAGATTTGATCTGTTAATCATCACATGATATAAATTATGAGAATGCAATTCATGTCAAGCAAGTCAATTAGGACCCTAATTGTAATATTTGAAAAGTTTAGGGGTCAAAGTTTAATTATGTGAAAGTTTAGAGACCATTTTGCAATTAGGCAAAATTTGGTCTAAACTTTAATTAGATGATGTAATTAAATTCCTTAAGAAATTCTAAGGAATTTAAGTGGGTTTAATTTAAGTTAATTTTGCTTGGATTAATTATAAAAATTAAGACAAAGATTAATTAAATCAACCAATGGGAATTAAGATAACCTAAAGCTTGAAAAAAATGTCAAAATTAGTGTGCTTGATATTTCTTTGTTCCTAAGTCGGTTCTTTCTCTTTAAAAGACAACAAAATCCAAACTTCTTCAACTTCCCAAAATCATGACCTTCATGGAAGAAAAGGAAGCTTGAGAACTTGGTCTTAAAAGCCATTAAAACTTAGGGTGTTTGTTAGAGAAAATTATCTTAGAGACTTTATGAGTATAACCTAGTCTTTATTTCTTGGAAAGGAGTTGTTCTTAGTGAATTTTCGTCTCTTCTTTCATGCGCACCGCATGCTGTCTTCTTGAGGAAATAGATGATTTTCATATCCTTTTGATGGAAAATTGATGAAATATAGTCTTCGTAACACCCCGTGTATACTCGGAATATTAACATTACATCGTATTAAACGGTACTTAATTAAAAATGCGGAATATTCTTTTTCTTTTCAATTATAACGTTATTATCAATTACCAATTTGATTACTTACTCAATTTCATAAAATAACGCCTGTATGTAAATTGCAATAAGACATCTACTGAAATACCTCAATATATAAATAAAGTGTGTATCTAAATCACGACATTACATCTAGTAATCCGGACAATATCCTGATACATTATTACAACTCCAAAAGACTAAAGACATAATCAAGACATAACAATACTATGTGTCATGGACAATCCCCATGCTCACCATATAAACATAGTAAACAACAAGTCTCAACATAAAACTCCATAAACATAAACTGAAGCTATAAGCATAAGCTACATGCAAATCCAGCATCCAATCATGGCAGCATAATATAACAGCAATCTAACTCAGCTCCGGCCTCCTGCCGCCTGAGGTCTCAACATTACCTGACCCTGAAATAAGCATTCCCCAAACGTGGGGTGAGATCTCTAAACAAGAAATCTCAGTAAGACAAGGGGTCCTCAAGGATCTTCCACCCCAAGCTCACTTACATGTGAAATATAAGTTCTAAAAGCAGTAATATCATTATCAGTTCCAAAACTATGTAGTGCAACAGATATCTATGGCATGTGTGTAATCACTATCTACTGGCCAGAGAAATGTAGGAATACGTCTATTCCCTACATGTAGTACAAGGAACACCGCTTGCACCTCACCCACAGCCTCACCCTCTTGTATGTTCTACATACTCAGGCTTACCATATAGGTGGAACACCTCCATGCATATCAACAAGGCACTAACATACAATAGCTCAACAGCATTTCCAAAACATCAAAAGCATGTTACACAGCATGCATATAACCATACCCCCATGGGACATGGTGGAACCACAACATGGCTAAACCGAGGACACGAAAGCTTACCTCTAAGCTAGCTATCCAATGCCACAACCTCAAAGTTCAATCACAGCAGATCACAATCTGATATGGACCAAATATAAATCAATAAACATGTACCACATGCACACAAATTAAAGACAACGCCTTTTCATTACGTTTTAAGTCTTAAAGCTTCTAACAAAGCCACAAGCCTTTAATCCCATGATTCTGGCTTAGTTCATTAAATACAGAAGTTCAACTTCATCAAACTAGGATCCACAAACCCCCAATAGCCTACTGTACACACATCACAGCTACTGTTCCACGAAATCCCAGAATATCCGGATATTTCTCGGGACCATATCCGGATATGCAATATCCGGATATCTCACTGTCCATATCCGGATATGCAATATCCGGATATACATATTCACATATCCGGATATCCAATATCCAGATATCCCAAAACCCCATTTCCAGATATCCAATATACAGATATCTGTTCGACAAATATCCGGATATTTCACGACAAAATGCAGTTTCTGCATTTTCGTTAAGATATCCCTTAAAGGTTCCCTTTTTACCGATTTTAAACACCTAATCATGCATTTCTAGGCGTATTCAACATTACCCAACAACAAGTTATCATCTTTTAGTCATTAGATGCATCAAGGTACCATTTTTAAGCATTTAAACTCAAGTTAAAGGTTGGTACACATACCCCAGCTCAAAACAGAAGGAAAGGTTGCCCTTTGGAGCGCACAATCAGTCTCAAGCTACTGTCACAAGATGATGCACGAAAATGTACCAGAAGTAGGTCTTTCACTCAACAAGAAGGCACCTTGAAGCATCAAAATGCCAACAAAAGGTCACACCCCTCAAGAACAGAAAACACAGCTGTTCAAACTCCCTCACACAGGTTCTCTAACTCAGAAACAGCACCACAATGCAGTCCCAAGGCCAACCCTCACCCTCACCCTCACCAAGTGTTTAAATGGAAGAAAAAACATCAAAGGTGAATGCATGCTCAAGAAATGGAGAAGGAAGCCTAAGAACACTATTTTTGGTCAGCCTCCAAGAAAAATCACGAAGCAAATCAGTTTTCTAGGGCTTTGTGCCCTTACAAAGGGTATATATAGCCAAAACTCACTTAAGCACACTTTATTAACTTTAATTGCTACGCTTAGCATTTTAATCCCAAACTTTGGATTCTGAAACTACACATTTTTCCAAGAATTATCATATTTTTATTATATTTTTCTGAGCACCTTTCCGGTACGCGCTTTTCAAAGCCAGTACCGGTTTCTAGCACCAGTTCTCATTATTTGGACTTGAAACTCGTTTTACAAGTCCTACATATTATTCTAGTAATTACCATGCACTTACATTAATTTTCCGGGATACTTTTTCGGTACGCAATTATACCGACTAGCAGAACCGGTATCTGCACTTTTCTTCCGAAAAGCGACTTTCAGCATTCTAACCCACTTATTATAATTATTAAGCCTCATAAATAATTATTAGGGTCAATTATGGAATCATTTCCTATTTTCACATAATTAATTAATTAAATACCTTAATTAACGGTGCAGGTTCTTACATTCACCCCACCTTTTTAGGATTTTGACCTCAAAATCAGAAACATACCTGGTCGAAACTCGGGGTGCTGCCGGAGAAGCTCGTCCTCACGCTCCCAAGTACACTCCTCAGGAATTCTTCCGGTCCACTGCACCTTGACCATTGGAATGATCTTGCTCCTCAGCTGCTTCACGCCACGATCGAGAATTCTGAGTGGTCCGACGAGAGTCTTCAGGTTCTCCCGAACCTCCACATCATCCGGTTGCACCACGTGCGACGGATCTGCTATGTACTTCAGAAGCTGAGACACGTGAAACACGTCGTGGATGTTAGTCAGGTTCGGAGGCAAGGCAAGTCGGTAGGCAACAGGTCCTACTCTACCAAGGATCTAGTATGGCCCAATATATCGCGGGCTCAGCTTCCTCACTCCGAGTGCCCGACCAACACCGGTGACTGGTGAAAGTCTCACAAACACGTGCTCACCCTCACTGAACTCCAGCGAACGATGCTTGACATCATAGTAGCTCTTCTGGCGATTCTGCGCCTGCTTCAACTTCTCACGAATCATCTGGATCTGCAAAGTGGTATCTTGGACAAAGTCCAATCCAAAAAGCTCCTTGTCCCCAACCTCAGACCAACAAGTAGGAGTCCGACACCTCCTACCATACAGTGCTTCGTAGGGCGCCATGCCCAGGCTAGCATGAAAGTTATTGTTGTAAGAAAACTCGACCAACGGAAGGTACCTATCCCATGCCGAGCCCTGCTCCAACGTGCAAGCTCGCAACATGTCCTCCAAGGTCTGGATGGTCCGCTCAGTCTGTCCATCAGTCTGAGGGTGATAGGCGGTACTCAATCTCAACTGTGTACCAAAAGCCTCCTGCAGCGCCTCCGAGAACCGAGATGTGAACTTCGGGTCCCTATCACTAATGATACTCTCGGGCACCCCGTGAAGCCTCACAATCTCGCGGACATAAAGCTTGGCCAACTACTCTGTAGTGAAGCTCACCTTCACTGGAAGAAAATGGGCAGACTTCGTCAGTCTGTCCACAATAACCCAAATAGAGTCACAACCCGCCTGAGTCTTCGGCAATCCCACCAC